TAGTATGGTAGCATTAAAGGAAATGTGATTTAAGATTTCTCTAGTGTACAGCAGGTGTCTATCCGTGGCTGATTAAAGGATAGGCTTTTGGGCCTGTGATTATAGCAGGGGGAAGATTACAGTGGCCCAGAAATTTCAGGCAAAAAATTTATTTCCTGCAAATCAAAACAACTCTGAGGTACCACATCACACCTATCAGATTGGCTAACATGACAAAACAGGAAAATGATAGATGTTGGAGAAGATGTGGGAAATTGGAATGTTAATGCATTGTTGGTGGAGTTGGAGAGCAATTTGAAACAGTGCCCAAAGGTCTATAAAACTGTGCATACCCTTTGACCCAGCCATGGCACTTCTAGGGCTGCATCCCAAAGAGATCATAAAAATGGGAAAAGCACCCACGTGTACAAAAATATTTATAGCAGGTCTTTCTGTGGTGGCAAAGAATTGGAAATTGAGGGGATGCCCATTAATTGGGAAATGGCTGAACAAGTTGTGGTATATGAATGTAATGGAATACTATTATGCTATCAGAAATGATGAGCAAGCAGACTTCAGAAAAACCTGGAAAGACTTGTATGGACTGATGCTGAGTGAAATGAACAGAACCAAAAGTACATTGTACACAGTAACAGCCATATTGTGGGATGACTAACTTTGATAGACTTGGCTCTTCTCAGCAAATGCAAGAATCTAAGACTGCTCCTAAAGTCTCATGGTGGAAAATGCTATCCACATTCAGAGAAAGAACTATGGAGTCTGAATGCAGATCGAAGCATACTATTTGCTCTTTTTTTTCTTTTGTTTTGTTTCTTCTTTCTTGTGGTTCTTCCTATTGGTTCCAATTCTTCTTTACAATATGACTAATATGAAAATATGTTTAATAGGAATGTATATGTAGAATCTGTATCAGATTGCGTGCCATCTTGGGGAGAGGGGAGGAGAAGAGAGGGGGAAAAAATTTAAAACTCAAAAGCTTATGGAAGTGAATGTTAAAGCTAAAAATAAATTAACTAATTTTAAAAAAATTTATTTCCTCTGAAACTTTCTAGTTTTGTGGGCCTACAAACGTCTTGCACGAACTTTTTATTTTCTTCCCAGGCTTTCAGGTTTCCATTGAGAAGCAAGCGCAAATGATCCTTGCCCAAGTCCATTTTCTAGATTATGTGTAGAGGTAGGGGTTATCCTGCATTTGACCCTTATTTTTGCACTATGAGGTCAGGTAACTATAGAGTTTTCCACAACTCAGAGGACTAAACGTAACAGTGAGAAGAGTTGGGAAAGAATATTTTATTGTAAGTTAGGAAACTTGAGTGAGTCCCAGTTTTGCTACAAGGCTGGTTATAACAAGGCAAATCACTTTATCTCTCTGTTCCTCATTTTACTCATCTATAAAGTGTGTGAAATGACCTACAATGCCCCTTCCAGCCTTAAAATTTTCTGGTTTTATTAGAATATAAATAGCATATGGTGTGAAGTATGACCACACTCTAATGTAATGGCCCTCTTATACAAAGATGGCACTGCAGGTCTTCTGCTTCTCACCTCCACCCTACACTAGGCCATTTTAATTGGTTCATGCCTACATACATCCTCAGATTTATTTGTGAGCAAAGGCCCCATCCCTCACCCAGGCCGGCTAGTTAACTGATATGTATGGGGATTCTTGCCCTCATTAGAACCATGCTTGAGTTAATCCTTTCCAAAGCATGCGTCCGAGGTATTTTGACCAATCATTATTTTCTTACCTCATCTATTTTTGCTAGGTTTTTTTTTCCCTTGAAAGGAAAAATCATAGAATTATATGTTTCCAGCTAGAAGGAACTCAGAAGTCATCTAGTCTGCACCTTTTTTTTTTTTAATAGAAGAGGAGCCAGAGATCCAGGGAAAAGAGACTTGCCCAAGGGCAAACAGGTAGGAGTCAACATAGAACCAGGAATCAAACCCAGGTCTTTTGAGTTCAGACTTAGTGCCCTTTCCATTGTACTCCCACGGCAGTAACCAGAATAGACCAATAGGTGGCATCTGTGCAAGGATTTAGAAATGACAGGTAGGAATGCCCTCTATGGCAAAGGGGAAGAAACGCCTTAGAAAATCATACATTTATCAGAGGTTGAAGGCTGTTGGGAAACCATGCTTTTCATTCATTAGCCAGAGAAACAACAGAACATTGATTCAAATAAAAGGACACAGAGCTGAAAGAGATGAAAATTAAGGACTTTATTCTGTATAGACATTAAATCACTTATACATATACTACTACAATTTAATACTTTTATAGATGCCTCCTGGGCTAATGGTTTGCCCAATTCTGAGGAAGGTCTTTTTTGGAGGCTCTTTTGATTGCCTGAAAGTGAAGAAAATTGGTAATGGCCTTTGTCATAAGTATTTGCATAGTGCTTTTTTGGGATAATTTCCTACAACAGACTTTTACCACGATTTATACTTATCTGCTAGGAAGTACCCTGCTATAACAGAGAAAAGAGATAGGAAGACCTGGATTTAAGTCCTGCTTCTTCCAAAGAGTAAGTCACTTGGCTTCTTAAATCTTCATGCAACTCTTTGAGACTGCAAGGTAGGATGCTTACCAGTTGGATTTCCAGTGGTGAAGGTAGTATACTGTTGTTTTTAAGTTGTTTTTACAGTCATGTCTGACTCTTCATGACCCCATTTGAGGTTTTCTTGGCAAAGATACAGGAGCGATTTACCATTTCTTTCTCCAGCTCATTTTACAGATGAGGAAACTAAGGCAAACAATGTTAAATGACTTGCCCAGGGTCTCACAGCTAATAAGTATCTGAGGCCAGATTTGAACTCAGAAAGATGAGTCTTCCTTACTCCAGACCCAACAGTGTATCCACTGCTCCACCTACCTGCCCTTATCCACCCAGCTACCCTAGGCAATGTATCAGAAGTTTCCATTCCAGGAGTTCTCTAAATGAAGAAATTACACATCTGGACCAAAAAACCAAACCAAACCCAAAAAAGTCTGGCTGACTGTAGCATTTCCTTCCTGTCTTGTGTAACAGAGTAGACTTATTTTTTTTATACAGACAGAAATTATTATCAATTTGTCATAGCTGATTGTTTTAGTACTCTAATATGTCTATGGATTCATCCATGTAAGTATTCCAACAATGCGGATGACATGACTTATTAGTCATGACTTATCCTTTGCAATTTATGACAATGTTCTTCCTTAAGTTTTCTACTGCGAACCTTCCTTTGCTTCTTTTGACCTTAGGAGGATACTAATGGATCACTCATCCGCCATTAATACCAAGGGGCCAGCCCATCTTAATCATACATTTCTTTGATGACATCGTTTACACTGTTTCTCCTTTGTAATTTCTTGTTTGTAAAATGCTACCTGCTCGAGCCTACCACCTACCGCCTTCCCTGGCAAACTAAAATCCCATCTATTACAGGAAATTTTTCCCAACCCCTTTTAATTCTATGCCTTCATTGTTTAAGTTGTTTCTTATTCGTCCTGTACATAGTTTGTTTTTATATATATTTGTTCGCATGTTGTCTACCCCATTAGATCATAAGCCTTTTGAAGGCAGAGCCTGTCTTTTGTTTCTTTGTGTCCTCTAGGGCTTAGCACAGTGCCTGGCACATAGTAGGTGCTTAATAAATGTTTATTGATTGATTGGTTCTCTGACTGAGGACTGTGTTGTTAGAATCGATATGTAATAGCTGCCCTGTTCTTGATGGCAAAAGTAAGTTTGTTATAAAAATCTTTGCAAACTTTTTCATCTGTTTTGTTGTCTTTCCCATTTCATCCTTAAATACCCTCAGGATGAGTTGAGTCTCTCACCAAACTTTTTTGTAAACTGGGTTTTCCCTCAGGTTTTAAGGTATTTTATGAAATGGTACTGCTTATAATCTTCCACAGTCATCCTCCATATAGTTTATAAATGAGTTTACATTCTAAATCCTTTTGGGTATATCCAAAGTATTACCCTGTGAAAATGTTGGCTTACTGTAACTTCTTAATGGGAAATGCAAAACTTGGAATTCCAAATAAACATGAATTTTGAATGCAGTTTCATGTACTTGTGATTGCTATTGGACTCAAACAAAAGTCTGTGGGAAGTAAATTGGTGAGGTAGAAACATTGCTGGATTTGGACTAAGAAGATCTAGCTTTGTCTCTTTTTACTTAGGTGACATTGGTCAAGTCACTTAACCTCTGTGGGCCTCACTTTTCTCATCTCTAAAATGAAAGGATTAGATTAGGTGACCTCTAAGGTCCCTTTTTTATGAATGCCTATTGTTAATGTGGGCTGATCTTTTTCTGTCAATTAAATGGTAAAGACTGAAAGAAGATGAATATTTTTATCATTGAAAAATGGTTTCTTTGATGGAAAACCTATAGCTTAATTTTTTAAAAAAACCTTTTTCTTAAGTATGGATTATCTGAAATTTTTCCTATGCTTTTATCTGAATTTTTAAAGTAAAGATTTCTGGAAATGTTTCTAAATTTTATTTTGAGACTTTCATATACTCCGTTCTCTGCTTTGACTTCTAACTCTCCTTTCTCTTCCTCCTGTCTAAATGCAACAAAGAATGATGTAAAGAATACTAGTCTTGGAATAAGGAGATCTAAGCTTCAGTCCTAACTTTAACTCTTACTATGTGATCTTGAATGATTCACTTAAACTCTCTGAGTTTTGTTTCCTCATTCATAAGATGAAAGAAAAATATTTACACTATCAATCTCACAAGGTATTTATTAGGGAGTGAGTTTTTAGCAGGGAGTGGATGAGATAGATATAGATATAGATATATAGATATAGATTTTTTTTTGGTCAGGGACATTTTGGAGAAGACTCATATTTTTCCAGTAGAAGTTAACCTAAATAGCCTCCAACTGAAGTTCTTGCATTGGAAGTTCTATGATCCTACTTTTTTGATTGAAGTTCTATGATTCTATTTATAGATTTTTAGTTGGAAGGGACTTCTGTGATTATCTGGTTTCACTCTTTCATTTTGCAGATACAGAACTGAAGTCCAGAAACGCAAATGATTGGGCCCAAGTCACACAGGTAATAATTGGAAGAGCCAGAATCTGAACTCTGGTTCTCCAATTCTAAATCCTGTCAGCCATTTGAAACTTAGAAAGCATTTGCCAGATGGAAGTATTGCAAATGGTGGTTAGGCTCTTGAGTTAGCCTACAAAAACCTATTTAATCCCATTGTAATCTCTTTGAGGGCAAGAATTATGTGTTACTTACACTTGTTCCTCGTATTGGTCTGATCAACCACGGTCAGATGCTTTCTGCATTAACCCTGATGTAGTGATGTCATTTTGGTCCTCTCTGAGTATGAAGGACAACCTCCTTTAGTGCCTATATAGTCTTACACATAGTGGATACTTAATAAATGTTGTTTGGATGACTGAAAACCAGTTTCTGGCGTACACCTATGAATTTGGAAAGTGTAAGCGAAAAAAAACATGTAAAGCTGGAATTTTAAATAATTAAGGTTTTTTTTCATTTAATTGCTGTTTTCCTTGGCAACAAGTAAATAAATTAGAATTCAGATGTCTGTGGACTTCATTATGAATGGTAATTGCATAATGCAGTTTTGTTTTACTAATATGTTCCTTTGCATGTCATAGGCACACATATTTTAGATTGATTGCTACTAGAAACCACCTGAGCCCTTTAAAAACAAATTTAGAAAATTTAGGTCCACACAGAGAGTTTTATCTGCAAGCTCTGGATTAAGTCTGTGTAGTGAATGTTATTAGTGCTTCCTTAGTATTGTAGCTTTGCTATACTCACACACATTTGTGGTTTGTTCTTATGATTTACAGAGCAGTTTCAGTTCCTTCTTATATCAATCACTGAATTCATGCACTTAGAAATAAAGGTAGAGACTGCTCTGTGGAGCTATTGTCTCTGGCAGAGCTAGAGAGAGAGGTTAGGTTACGATTTATCGGTCCTTTTTTTCCTCTTACCTGAGATGATAATCATCTGGGATACAGCCTAGCCACAGAGCTAAGTTCCATCCTTGGCATATGGGGAGTGGGAGATGGGGAACAAAATGTTGTATACTTCATAAGCAGTGTCTGTGTCTGATTAGGTCACTTCCTTAGAGCACTAGGCTGAGTTGAGGATATGGAGACAATTTTCAGTGGGCCAGTTAATATACCCTTAACCTTCATCTGGTCACAAAAAGGACTCTGAATCCTTTATGTCTCAGTGGGCATGTCCTGCCAATGTGGCTTCTCTTACATAAAAACTTGAGGTTGCACACATGTTTGGAGGCAAGTAATGCTTGTGTTCGGTGGAGGAACACTCCTACTTTTGTTATTCTCATGAATTCCCTCTGTACTTCTCGTGCTGTTCAAGTCGCTCAGACCCAGCTTAACTGTCCTTCCTCTTAGAAAATTACCTCTTTTCTATCTGACCATATTAAGGTCTTCCAGTTCAGGTCATCTGATCTTTCCAATACATGGACTTGTCACCACATCCTCACAAAATTTGTGTGAATCTTTACCCTACTTGTCTCCAAAGAAGAATGTTTTCTCCCTCTTAGAATTATTTTGTATTTATTTATATGTGTAAATATTGTATTCCATCCATCTCCAATAGAATATGAGCCTCATGAGATCAAGAACTTTCACTCTTGTCTTTGTATGGTCTCCAGCACCAGGCACTGTACCTACCTACAGTAAGAGACTCATACATTTATTGAATCTAACATATGCTTCATCTCCCTTCTGTCTCCCAACACTCTCGATCCAGAGGATTATATCATCAGCATTTTCCTCACAACCCTGCGAGGCAGCTAGCAATAAAAATAGTTAGCATTTACATAGCATTTTAAAGTGCTTTATATCTTATTTTACCTTCACAGCCATCCTAGAAATTAGGTGCTGTTCTTATCTCCATTTTATAGAGGAAGAAACTGAGGCAGGCAGAAATTAAGACTTGTCCAGGGTCACATAGCTAGTAAGTGTCTGAGGCCAGTTTGAACTCGGGTCTTCCCGACTCCAGGTACAGAGCTCTGTCAACTTCACCACTCAGCTGCCTAGTGAATGAGAAAACTGAGACTCAGAAATTGAGACTTAGACAGGGCTAAGCAAGTGTGAGACCCCAGGTCTGCCTATTTGAGGCTTATCACTCTTTGTACTCCCTCCTCACATCAGTCCCCTGTGTTGGCATCATTGCTGAAGGAACAGTTCACCCTTCTTTATGGGACTCAGTCCACCAGGTGGCAGACAATCACATCTTTATCTATTTTAGAGGAAGCACCCTCCAAAGACAGTGGAAGAATCCAGTGCTTTCCTGGGACACTGCACAGGACACCCATCTGAATTTATTAAACTGAAATTTGGAAGTTATTCTCATACTCCGGGACATACTGCATCCAAGGCATGTGGCCTGAACTCACTGAGGGCAGCCAAGTAATGTCTTATGCAAGATGAGCGAGGAGAGGCTTTCACTGCCCTTCTGACTTTCTAGTCAGATGATAATTTTTCTGGGTAGAGAAAACAAAAGCAAAATAGTAAAGAAGTTGTTTCTTTTTTAAATTGTCCATTATCATCTTCCCATTGACATCTGAGATCCCTCTATTTTTTAATAACCTTTCTTTGATTAATATTTAGACAATTTTAACATTCATTTAAAAAATTTTTTTGAGTTCCAAATTTTCTCCTTCCCCCCTAATCTTTCCCCTGCCTGAGACTCTAAGCAATTTGATACAGGTTATACATGTGCAACCATGCAAAAACATTTCCATATTAGTCATGTTATGAAAGAAGACACAGACCCAAAGGGGGGAAAAAATGAAAAAAAAAGTGAAAAATAGTATGCTTTGATCTGCATTCAGACTCCATCAGTTCTTTCTCTGGAGGTGGATAGCATTCTCCATCATTGAGTCCTTTGGAATTGTCTTGGGTCATTGTATTGCTGAGAAGAGCGAAGTCATTCACAGTTAATCATCATACAATATTGCTGTTACTGTGGACAGTGTTCTCCCGATTCTGCTCACTTCACTTTTAATAAGTTTGAGTAAGTCTTTCCAGGTTTTTCGGAAATCAGCTGGCTTGTCATTTCTTATGCACAATAGCATTCCATTACAATCATATACCACACCTTGTTCAGCCATTTTCCATTTGATAGGCATATCCCCAGTTTCCAGTTCTTTGCCACTAAAAAAGAGCTGCTATAACTATTTTTGTCCACATAGATCCTTTTCCCTTTTAAAAAAAATCTTTTTGAGTATTATTGAATAAAAGGATGCTCTTTTAAAAGGATGTGCATAATGCATAGTTTTATAGCCTGTTGGGCCTAGTTCCAAATTGTTCTCTATAATGATTAGACCAGATTGCTTGTCCACCAGCCGGTCATTAGTGTACCTATTTTTCCCTCATCCCTTTCAGCATTTGTCATTTCTGATAGGTGTGGGGTGGTACCTCAGAATTATTTTAATTTGTCTTTTTCAATTGTGATTCACAGCATTTTTTCACATGACTAAAGAAAGCTTAGATTTCTTCATCTGAAAACTGCCTGTTCATATCCTTTGACCATTTATCAATTGGGCAATTCAGATTAATATTTAATTAAAATTGTATCATCTATACCAAACTAATCTTTTGAAAGAACTTTTTAAATCATATCCTTTCCCCTTCTACAATTCTACATATGTAAAGTGAAACTCCTTATTCTGGCATTTTACAATCCGGCCCCAGCCTGCCGTTCCAGCTTTTCTTTCCACAACACATAACCTACATTGTATTTGGTCTGATTAATTAGAAGTCCCAAACACATTGTGCTTTCCCTTAGTACCATTGTTTATCCCATTTTGTCTGTCCAAACTTGTTAATATCCTTTCTCCCACCCTAATCCATAGTTTTCACCTTTATCCAGCAAGACCCAGCCAAAATGCCACCTCCCCAGGACGCCTTTACTGTTCACCTGTTACCATGTTGCCTGTGTTGGTACCACTCTTGTGACAGGTTGTTTTTGTTTTTTTTAATTTATAGATATACCCCATATATGGTTATCCCAACTAATGTTGTTTAACAGTAATATCTTTAATGCTGAAAGGGGAGGGTCAATTGAGATAAACATGTCCAACATAATAGTCCTTCCTGCTAGGCAAGAAGGACTCCCTGTCCTAGATTTCTTGACTAAACTATTGAGTCAGGCAGATTTATTCTGTAGCAGTGGTGTCAAACTCATATAGAAAAGGATCTTTGCAGGCAGCATGTTGACTTTAAAAAACCACAAATTAATATTATCTGTGTTGTATTTTTATTTCTGTTGTTATACATTTCCCAATTAGATTTAATCTGGTCTAACTTCACTAGAGTGACATTTACGTCTCTGTTTTATAGGACCTTTCCTTGCTCTGATTCCTCTTATTCTGCTAGCTAGCCTCTTGATTTGATCTCATTTGCGAAGATAAAGTGACCAGATCCATTTATTTTACAAGTGACATCTTTAACATATGTTTGGTTTTTAGGTGATGTCTGGCCCGAGAGGTATAGCCACATGAGATCATGTAAAGTGCAACGGATGTAGCTTTTAACCATTTAGAAGTATCCGGCTTTTTAGAAGTTGTGATCTGACCTGTGAGTGTGGAGGTAAGGTCACTAGCACGCTTTCTTTCCTGAATGGTTTGATGGCTTTCTTCTCTGACTCAGACCGAAGTAGTTCTCAACCAACACCAAAAAGGACTGTGGATGACACTGCCTTGGAATGACATCTCTGATTCACTGACACGTGAAGAAAACCTCATGAATAGCAATCACAGAGACTCAGAGAGCATCACTGGTGAGTTGATGTGCTTAAATTCCAGCTAGACCTTAGTGGGTAAAATCCTTTTTTGTAATTTCAACCATTAATGAGTTTTCACAGTCCTTTTCAATTATACATATCAGAAGAAAATGGCCAGGAAATGGCATCATTTTTAAACAAATGAAGCATTTGTTCATTATCATTTATAAAGCGCTTGCTAACCTGTCCTAAGCTGTATAGTGAGCTATGCACATACATTGCAGTGAAAAACCTATGTGACTAATTTATTTCAAGCAATTTTTGATCCATTTCCATATCAACAACAAAACAGCAGCAAACTGGACAATCACAAGGAAATTATTTGTAATGGAATTTGACTGGTAGGTCTTGGTTACATTTCAAGTTTCTACCTTACCCATCTTAAAGAAATATTATTAAGGCTTAAGGATGGACTGGATTTTTTTAAAAATTGTGAACTATTCATCTCTTTGATAATATTAGCCTTTGTAGGTTAGGTGGGGAGAATAATTGAAATTTTACAGTCAAAATATGACAGGAATTAAAGACAAGTTGTGTTTAATATTTTTTATTACATTTTCAGGTTAACTTAAGCCTAGGCATGAGCAGCTTAACATGCTTATCAGTTTAATAGTTTTCCTTGAGTCTGGGATTATCCTTTGCCTTGGGCTTAGAATATGTTTTATTTTATTCTCCAAAGGAATACTAGAGATAAAGATGAAGGAGTCATTGGCTCTCAAATCCATATCCCAGAGCCAAAGTAACCCAGAGAAAGCTTTATAGTCCCACCATGAATGATGTTTATCTTCTCATGGAGTGAGGGTGGAATGTTTCTACTTGTTATCTCATTGGTATAGAGAACTCCCTTTGAGGAAACTTGCAGGTCTGTTTACATCTTCTCTGCAACATATGGTTTTAAAGAGTAGATTGGGACACTGAGTAGTTAGATGTGTCAGATGTGGGGCTTGAACCCAGGTCTTCCTGGCTCCCCAATCCCTATCTCCATCCACTGGGCTACAATGCCTCTCATCAGAAATGATTACTCCAATTTTCCCTGGAGCATAATATGAAAATCCATCAGATTTACATGGTATGCTTTTTCATAAGATGTTTGCTCCAATGAGGATCTCCCTGAAGTTGAGCTGGTGAGCCTGCTAGAAGAACAGCTTCCCCAATACAAACTACGAGTGGATTCCCTCTTATTATATGAAAATCAAGACTGGACTCAGTCCTCTCATCAAAATCAACATGACTCTAATGCCATCTCTCCAGTCCTTGCTGAAGAGACTTTCCGTTATATGAGTGAGTATCACATACTTAGAAATTTCTTATGTCAGTTGAAATAAGGATATACATGTTATATGTGTGTTATAGATATGATGATTATTTTTTTTAAAGCATACAGAAATTTTACTGCCTACCAGGAACCCAGATTAACAGGTAGAAAATGTTCTCATCGAAACGTTAAAGTTTAGTTCCAGAAAGCCCAAGTCATTTTGAATATGTGGGGCAGGGAGGACTGGTTTTCACTCCCTTTTCATTTCCATCTCATGTTCCTGATTTCCCTCTAGATCAGAGGTTCCCAAACTTATTTGGCCTACCTCCCCCTTTTCAAAAAATTACTTAATGCCTCCCTGGAAATCTACTTTCTTTAACCTTTAATGGTTTGGTTGTTTTGGGGTTTTTTGAGGTTTTTTTGTTTTTGTTTTTGATTTTTTGAAATTTGCATCATTTCAAAAAAGAACAATTTTTTTTTAAAAATGCGTCTTAAATTTAATAATTTATTGTAAATTTGTGGGGTTTTTCCTACATTGAAATTTTGATGATGCAATATTGTATCATATAACTGTAGAATATTGTATTGTAAATAAGTCATTACATGCACATATTCCTGCTGATGCATGCTGGACTTCCCAACAGTGCGCAACACACTCACCTGCCAACACTTGCTTGTTAAGACCTGTCGGCGGCCTTGACCACTTGACCAATTTTTTTTTTAGGCAGTTGGGGTTAAAGTGACTTGCCCAGGGTCACACAGCTAGTAAGTGTCAAGTGTTTGGTCTGAGGTCAGATTTGAACTCAGGTCCTCCTGACTTCAGGGCCGGTGCTCTATCCACTGCACCACTTAGCTGCCCCTCAAAGTGTGTGAGTGTGTGTACCCCTTTGCTCTTGATGGAATGATCAAAAATTAAATCATCCAAAAGTATGGAATGATTTGTAGTTAGCTTTGTAGTTAAGCAGTAATTTAGGTTGGCTGAATGTAAATTAGGAATCAGCTGGTTCCAAGGCTGATCCTATGAGTAAAGGTGAAGATGATCTTCATTCCATCATAAGAGCTAAATATCTGCTACTCAATGAATATAAATGTCTCAAATTCAAGAAATAAAACAAGTCTTTTAACCCAAACTTTCTTATGGCACCACATATATTCTATTGCTGCAATCATGAGCACAAGAGTTTTCAAGTCTTTCCCCACCCCAAGAAAGTCATCATTCAAAACATCAGCATACAGTGCAACAAGGTTCTTTTCCAAAAGACTGTAACAGAAGAGCCCTTTCTTTTTTAATAGTATGAACAGAACCCTACAAAAATTGACCCCAAATATTAGCCAGCTAGGACATCACAGCGCAAACAGATGTTAACTTTCAAGATCTGAATGAAAACCAAACAACCCACACCTGTTAAATAGTAAGTAATAGCAGAGACATAGAAACGACAGCCCAATATACTACTTACACAAACATGTTCTAATATGAGCTAAGGTAGAGTCCACAAGGCTTGTGGAAGTTTGACATTACTGTTATATGTAATTATATATAGCTTGCATTTGTGTGTTTATTTGGAAAATAATGTAATCATTATAACTTTAACTCTTATTACACTACAGATGAAACATGTACAAATGGTTTCTCAAAATTTTCTTATCTACTTTTCTTTCCTTATGCTTCCACCACCCTCTCATTATTATTCTTATTCAATACCCCCCAATTGCACCTCAGGCTACTACCACGCCCCCTCCACATCATTCCAGTGCCCCCCCCAGGGGGCAGTATCACCCGCTTTGGGAACCTATGCTCAGCTTGAGTGGAATGGTAGTGAAAGGACCTTATTGTTTCTTGCTTGTGCTGATTGAAGCAAGTTGACCTGCAAATCCCCATACGTAATGCCCCTCTAAATAAGTGTTCTAAATAGGTTTTATCATCCACACAGAATATTACCACAGAAAGTCATGAAGAATTTTGATACTTAGAGACACAGCTGTTACAGTAGTGGCCAAGAAAAATAAATACAAATTTATCCTTTTTCACTCCAAACCATCCTATGTAGAGATACATAGGGAGTATCTGGAAGATGTGCTAAACTACACTTGCTCTGTTACGATGCTAGCAGATTCCTAAATTTAATGTAGGATGATGATTCCCATAAACAGGCATCTTGTCATATCTGATTACCTGACTCAAACCAAAATTTTTTAATCAAAGGTTATGTTTTAAAATGTCTAGCTTTTTTTATTGTTGTTTTAGCAATTATGATAAAATAGGACTTCAGAGATCAATATGGAAGCAGTGGTAGATAAGCAGCCACCTAGGAGGAGGTTTCTAAAACCTGGTAGAAGAGAAGAGGTAGGAATAGGTATTGACTGGGTAGGAGTTGGCCCTCTTTCAGACAACTACTTTGGGCAGCTCCTCTTTGTTTTGGGGCATCAGGAGGAAGCTTATCAGTTCCCAGTCAAAGGCAATTGAGCAAATTGACCTCATCTCAAAAGAAAAGGTGGGAATTGCTCAAGCAACATAGCAACAGGTGTGGCCAATGGGCTGTTCAGTTCAACAATAAGACCCTATACTAATCTGCAGATACTGGGGCAGGGGGTGGGGCATGGGGCATGGGGATACAGAGACACAAAGGACGAAGTCCCTGTCTTCCCTGGGCTTCTTTTCTCCTGTGGAGCTAGAGCCTGTATACTGGGAGGCACTGAGTGCGGCATGGTGGACAGACCATTGGCTCTGGTGTTAGAGGACCTGGATTCAAATCCCACTTGTAATTCTAATTGTTCTAATAATTCTAATTCCAATAATTAAATGATAACCAACACAGAGCACTTAAAAGTTTGCAAAGTACTTTTGATATATTGTGGCTTCTATTCCTCACAACAACCTGTTGGTAGGTGTTGTTATTCTGTTTTGTAAATGAAGAAACTGAGTCAGATAGAACTCACCCATGTTCACATGGCTAGTGAGTATCCAAGTCAGGATTCATACTCAGGTTTTCCTGTCTACAAGTCCAGCACTCCGACCACTCCCTCACCATCTAGCTGTCTCTTAACTACCTGTGTGTCCTGGGGTAAATCCCTTAACCTCCTCAGGCATCAGTTTCCTTATCTGTAAAATTCAGGTTAAACTAGACAGCCTCTCCCAGCTCTAGATCTGTGTTCCTGTGATAACCAAATACAATAAAACAGAGAAGCGGCAAAGCCCAACTGTGGCAAGAGTAGAGGCAGGTGGGAACACGTGGACCATAATTATGACCTGGGTGATAGGAAAGTCAAACACTGACTTCCTCTGTTTGAGCAGCCAGACCTAGCCTGGCTCTAGGGTGCAGCTATAGCAGCAACAATGAGAAACAAACTGAAGTGTAGACAGAAGAAATGGAAACTGCTTCTGGACACCAGCAACAGCCCCCACATCCTCCTAGCGACCCTCAGTAGAGCAGACCCCAGCTGCCTTAGCCTGCCTGTGGCCCACATAGAGGAGCAGGCCTTATCTTTCTCCATTCTCAACGAGACAGCCGGCAGTGTCATTGATATGTCCCTAGAGACCTGGAGAAAGACAATACAATACTCATCTGGTTGTGCTGAACAGTAGCATGACCTATTGGAAGAAGCTGCCGCCATCGACATCACTCAGCAGCCAGCCCCACCGAGGGCTTATCAGTGACCTTGCTCCCTTTGAAGACTTGTAGCAGGCCTCCCAAAGAGCCGTGTGTGCCTAAAAGCACACTTACTCAGGTCCAAGTCCGTGCAGGAGAGAAGCTATGGTGTATTTGGGGTCCCATGAAAACGGTTCCTGGAAACCCCCTTTCTTCCTGCTACCCCCTCCTCTTACTGGCCAGTACAGAAACATAGATTATTACGTTCCAGAGGAGGAAGAACTATTGGAGGCCAAAGGTTTTTGTATACAAGGGAGAGGGGCTCATTGAGGCAAAAAGAGACGAGGTCCCGTGACACCTTTGTGCTGTGTACCCCTGACTGAATAACTAAGGCAGGGGTAGGGGAGGGAGAGAGCCTGTAAGATGTAATGGCCCTAGGGAGGATTGCGAAGGCGAGTAGAGATGGACTTGGGTATAAAGGTCATTTGGTGATTTAGGATTGAGGGAAAGAAATCTGACCCTGACCTCCGTGGAAAGTATCACACTTCCGAGTTAAAGGCCAGGCTGGCACGCAGGGCCTAGCAGCTGCATTGGCTGTTCTCATTTCTCAGACCTGTGATTTTTGCATGAATGTCCATTTAATTTGTATTCACTTTGGTTTGCCACCCTGCATCAGGAAAGTCCATCCATCTTGGAGGCAGGAGGAAGGAGACAAACACAAAGTAACTTGAGTAGAGAAAGAACGCCTACAACTGGGGCAGGAACTTGGGGGGAGGTCAGGAAAAGCTCAGTGTAGGAGGTAGCACCTGATCTGAGCTTTGAAGAAAAAAGGAGAGGGGGAGGGGATCCCATTTCAGGCATGGGACGTTTATGGGAGGGCAAGGAGATAAAAGAGAGAAGGCTGTCCTCAGAGAACAGCTGGCAGTCCCATTTAGCTGGACCACGGAGAGTGTAGATGGGGGAAGATGTGAAATAAGTCTGGAAAAGAAGGTACGTTGGAACTGGGCTTTAAGGGCAAAGTTATAGCATTTGTGTTTTCGCCTAGATTTACAAGGAAGCTGTTCAAGGTTTGTGAGAGTGCCCTGGGGCTAATGTGGTAGCATCTTAGGGACCACAGGAGAGGGAGCTCACAGCAGAAGACCTCCATTTTCTCAGTAAAATAGGAAGCAAATCCCTGTGTTGAAAGAGGAGAAGGAGCGATTGCTATGCCCCATCAAGAATCCAGTTGAGATGAGATGATGTGAATTTGTAGTGGCCGTAGCTGTTGGCATTGCATGACTTCCAGCAGAGGAGAGAAGGCAGGGGTAACCCAGGGTTGCGGTGTGGGTGAGGCCCGAGACTGTAGTGGGACTAGGAACTAAGGGAGTCAAGGGTGGAGGACACAATATAGTGGAACTTGTCAGTCAAAGGTTCAGGACTGTGAAGGGAAGAAAGCC